ACTGATGCCTGAAGTGAGGCTCTAAATAATTTGACCTTTATTTTCGCTATTTCACTAAGGATAAACCCAAATGATAAAGTCTACTTTGCTGACCAACTCCTTATTTTAAAATGAAGTGTTTAATATTATACAAATCTCATGGCAAATATACCAGCAATTTAAAAATTTATTTTTTATTGTTTGAGATAGAGTCTCACTCTGTTGCCCTGGTACAGTGTTGTGGTGTCATAGCTCATAGCAACCTCAAACTCTTCTGCTCAAGCAATCTTTCTCAGAAAGACTTAGATTTCCCAGTAGCTGGGACTACAGAACACATACCACTACACCTGGCTAATTTTTTGTATTTTATATAAAGACAGAGTCTTGCCATATTGCTCAAGCTAGTCTCAAACTCCCGGCCTCAATCGATCCTCCCACCTCAGCCCCCCAAAGTGCTAAGATTAAAAGTGTGAGACCCTGCATCTGGCTTAGAGATGCTGTTTATAAAGGGTGCTTCATCAGCAGATAGGAGGAAGAAAACTAAGAAAATTTATGCACTCTAAGGAACAAACCAACTCCTTTCTATAAATGTTGGTATTTAACATTTGGGAGATTCCCAAACAATTCTACATTCAATTAAAACATTTTTAACACAATTATTTCATGCTTAGAAAATCTAGCTTTTTAAAAAAGAACTCAGGAGGACATTGGAGGGCAAAATTATGAAAGTAATACCCTTACCTTTCTGCACTTGATAAGATGATAAGGAAATCTGCAGGCCCTGATCTGGTGGTTTTTATCATAGGGGCATTGTAATAGCTTTTCAGGGTCTAGGGAGTCGACTGAAAGAGAGAAAAATACATTAAGTGAAACTATAATGGGTCCTTATAAAACTACAGCATTAGAGTTACATTTTATTTTTTAAAGAGAATCTGTAAAAACAGAACAAGATAGTCTAAAAAAGAAACTCAGATTAAAAAAAGATGACTAAACATTTAAAATAAAAATGTAACTGAGAAGATAAAATTATGTTATCAGTGAATCGTAGTAAGTACAGCAGAACCAGCAATTATGGAGTGAGGTCTCAGTTCATATTTGACTGAGTATGTATATTGTTTTCATTGTTGGTTAGCCTTACTAGAAAACAAAAAGTTAAATAAAATGATATCCTCATTTCTTTTTTAAAAAGTGCTAATTCAGGGTCATTCCTATCCCTCCAGCTAGTCCAACTAGAGCTTCCCAACCAGGATGCTGAACTTGGAGTGTATTGCTGGTATGTCAATATATTGATCTGGGGGCCCAGTGCACCTGCAAATCACATTCCCCTCACCCACCACATGAGTTGAGAGTAGTTAATTCTTCTCACTAGCATTCTTATCTATTACTACTATTCCATGACATGAAAAAAGTGATAAGCACTGTGTATCAGTGGTATGTTTTACAAAAATTGAGAAATAGTAGTGGACAGATGATTTCTTTTTTATGAGCCAAAGTCTCACTCTGTTGCTTGTGCTAGAGTGCTGTGGCATCAGCCTAGCTCACAGCAACCTCAAACTCTCAGGCTCAAGTGATCCTCTTGCCTCAGACTCCTGAATAGCTGGGACTACAGGTGCTTGTCACAACGCCCACCTATTTTTTCCAGTAGAGACAGGGTCTCATTCTTGTTCAGGCTGGCCTTGAATTCCCATAAAATTCTATTTAAAACTACCCTTAGTCTATACAAGATGCCCAGGTTGAATGCCAAATTTTAACAAGCTTGGTTAAGGAAGAGAAATTAAATGATTAAGCACATTCTGAGTATATTAAGAGGACAAGAAGTAACCTAATAAAATGCTCTTGCCACCCCTGAAGGCAATGATGAAAGTGAAATAAGATAAACAATTCACATTTGATAAGTAGCTTATAAACCAGGAGACTGTTAGGAAAATCAGAAGGCATTGGGTAATTGAAACAGACAGTTTCATTGGAAGAGTGGTAAACATAGAATCAACTGCTAACCATGATCACGATGCAAATGAGCCAGAAAGGTGACCTTAAGGACAGAATGAAAAGCCTAAAAGGATAGGCAGGCTTATTACGTCAACAGGCTCTATGTAACTAACAATATTTTCACATTTTTGAAGCTTTACGACACCCAGGGTGAGTTTACAGATGAACTTATTAGTTTCCCTTCATTTAATCCATTCCATTACCATCAAATGTTAGGCAGTGTCAGCAGCTGACAAATCGGATGGTAACTTCTGATTTATATACATCATACTGCCCAGATGGTGGCATCCGTCAGAATTGGTAAGAACTTCCTATCATAATGCTTCACTTCTTAGTCTCTGGCAACTTAGGTAAACTAATGTTTGTGTACTTCAAGTTGTAGGTCTAATCTAACTTGGTTTTCTAGATTTAAAAGAATTGTATTTTTAATGAAAAATTCCTTAATTGTGATAAAAGATGTAAAATTTATGTTAACTAATTTTAAGCGTTCAGTTTAGTAGTGTTAAATATATTCACATTGCTGTACAACCAATCTTCAGAAGTTTTTCATCTTGCAAAACTGAAACTCTTTATTTTATTGAGAAAGAGTCTCACTATGTTGCCCTTGGTAGAGGGCTGTGACGTCACAGCTCACAGCAATTGCAAACTCTTCGGCTCAAGCAATTCTCCTGCCTCAGCCTCCCAAACAGCTGGGACTACAGGTGCCCGCCACAACACCAGGCTATTTTTGATTGCAGTTGTCAATGTTGGTTAGCTGGCCTGGGCCAGGTTTGAACCCACCAACCTCGGTGTATGTGGCTGGTGCTGTAACCACTGTGTTATGGGCGCTGAGCCAAATACCAAAACTCTTTAAACATCAACTCTCCATTTCCCATTCCCTCTACTCCTTGGCAACCACAATTCTATTTTTTCTTTTTATGAGTTTGATTGTTCTAGATACACCACATATGTGAAATAACAGAGTATTTTTTTGTGACTAGCTTATTTCACTTCGTATAATGTCTTCAAGTTTCCTCCATTTTTGCAGCATGTGACAGGATTTTCTTCTGTCTTCCAGTTTGCTTTTTTCTTTTTTACTTAATCCATCTTTGTGCTCCCTCCATGCCAGTACATATTAGGAATATTTCGTTGCTGCATATGGATGTACTAAATTCTTAAATCTAAATTCCCTTACTGATGGACATTTATGTTGTTTCCAGTTTTTATTATCTACAATGTTATGACTAACAATATAGTATTTAGCTCTTTGTGCACTAGTATGAGTATTTCTCTTGGACAGACACCTAAGAGTGCTGCCTTGAAATGTATGTGTATTTAAAGTTGCAATAAATACTAATGTATGTGTATATAAGCAGTAATAAATACTATCAAAATGCTCTAAAACATTTTGTCTGTCTTTCTGGGAATATAATTTACTTTGGAAAAAAAAGTAGGTCTTTTTTGCAAGCTTCCTCCAAAAGTATAGACTCAGCTCTTCCTTAAATGTGGGTGGGGCTAAAACCCAGGGTGAGAAACAGAGGAAACTTCATGGAAATAGGGAATGAGGCCCAACAAAAGTTTATCATCAGCTAAGAAGTACATTCCAAAGAGAGAAGACAAGAGTTCTCTAGGCATTTATCAGATAAGGTTGGGGTCCCAGGTCAATTTGGGAAAGAGGTCAAGCATCTTCTAAGGCAGTACCTCTCAACCTTTAACACACTCTCTAGGTATTGAATCACTTAGGACTAAGTGACTGTTAAAATGCAGATTTTAATTTAGTGGGTCTGGAATGAGGCCTGAGATTGTGCATTTCTAGACAATATTTTTTTTTAAGCAAAAATCTGTGGCTAACAAAAGTAACAGGACTGAGAGACAAAAAGGAGAGATGTTCCTTTGTAATTTAACAGAGAGTAGTAAGCTTCCAGGAAAAAAAATACACACATATGTATACCCCCATGCAAGGGAGCCCTAAGGAAATGTTTTTTTTTTTTTTTGAGACAGAGCCTCAAGCTGTCCCCCTGGGTAGAGTGCCATGGCATCACGCTCACAGCAACCTCCAACTCCTGGGCTCAAGCGAGTCTCCTGCCTCAGCCTCCCAAGTAGCTGGGACTACAGGCGCCCGCCACAACGTCTGGCCATTTTTTGGTTGCAGCCATCGTTGTTGTTTGGCGGGCCCTGGCTGGGGATTCAAACCCGCCACCTTAGGTGTATGTGGCTGGCGCCTTAGCCGCTTGAGCCACAGGTGCTGAGCCATGGAATGTTATTTATTATTATTATTCTTTGAGACATACTCTCACTATGTCGCCCTGGGTAGGGTGCTGTGGTGTCATAGTTCACAGCAACCTCAAACTCTTGGGCTTAAGTGATTCTCCTGCCTCAGTCTCCTAAATAGCTGGGACTCCAGGCGCCTGCCACAACACCCAGCTATTTTTTGATTGTAGTTGTCGTTGTTTGGTAGGCCCTGGGCTGGATTTTTTTTTTTTTTTTTTGAGACAGAGCCTCAAGCTATCGCCTTAGGGAGAGTGCCATGGCGTCACACCTCACAGCAACTTCCAACTCCTGGCTTAAGTGATTCTCTTGCCTCAGCCTCCTGAGTAGCTGAGACCACCAGTGCCCACCAGAACGTTCGGCCATTTTTGGGTTGTAGTTGTCATTGTTTGGCAGGCCCGGGCTGGATTCAAACCCCCAGCTCTGGTGTATGTGACTGGAGTTTTAGCTGCTTGAGCTACAGGTGCTAAGCCCCTGGGATGGATTTAAACCCACTAACTCTGGTGTATGTGGCTGGCACCCTAGTCGCTGAACTACAGGCCCCAAGCCGGAGATGTACATCTTCTAAGGAAGATCAGTGATTCTCAAAGTGTGGTCCTTAATAGCATCAATATCACTTGGGAACTTGTTCGAAATGCAAATTCTCAGATCCCAGACCCAATCTTTTTGAAACAGAAAAAGTGAGACCCAGCAATCTGTGCTTTAACAAGCTCATCAAATAATTCTGCTGCATGCTAAGGTTTGAGTATCACTGTGTTATAGCTATTTAATAAAGACCAGAAGGTAGAATAAAGCTGAAATAGCCTTTAGTTGTACTTATTAATTAAAACAAGATTATGAAGACAGCAAACAGAAAACAAAGTAGGCCTTTGTTGACAAGTTTCATCCACAAGCATCAATTCAGGTTTTCCTCAAAGACCAAAGAGTAGAAATCACAGTGGTTACTGAGTAGCAGATATAAACAAAATAGAGGATTCAGGTTCTGACTCTGCCTCTAACTATGTAACCTTGGGCAAATCAATTAATCTAGACTCTATGTTCTCTGTTATAATAATTTTAGTAATTTTTTTCTTTTTTTGAGACAGAGTCTCACTTTGTTGCCCTCAGTAGAGTGTCGTGGTGTCATAGCAACCTCAAACTCTTGGGCTTAAGCGATTCTCTTGCCTCAGCTTCCCAAGTAGCTGGGACTTGAGACAACCTCCACACACTGGGCTGTTTTTAGAGATGTGGTCTCGCTCCGGCTCAGGTTGATCTCCAACTTGTGAGCTCAGGCAATCCACCCACCTTGGCTTCCCAGAGTGCTAGGAATACAGGTGTGAGCCATCACGCCCGGCCAATTTAAATGATTTTTCAGGTCCTTTTTGGTTCTACACCTGTATGAAGCCTAGGTGCGGGCTTCTCTTTGATTTCCTGGGTCACCTGAGAAACAAGAATCTTTTCCAAGATCTCTTATCCTAAAATTTTTTTTTACATCAACATTATTCTGTATATCATATTACCTCTCAAAATAAAACAGAAGTAACTATCCCTGTGTCATATGTACAAGGGGAAGTTCAAGTCCTGAAGAGTCAAAGTGTTTCATTTAATGAACATGTAGTTCAACAGAGGTGTCCTAACTGCAGCTTTTTCAAAGCTCTCTGACTTCTCATATCACTTAAATTACTTAAATTTCAAGCATCTTATTTCAAATTTGAGCACTTCTCTATGTTGTGGCATCATAGAGACTTTTCCTCCTCAGGAGTTCAGGGAGAAACTCAAATTTTTTTCCTAGCACACTAAAAGTCTTGTCAGACATAAAACTGCATGTAAATGATTTAACTTATTTTCTAAAAGCAACAAAAAGTACATACTGTAAGTTTCTTCCATGTTGGAAATAAAGGAGCTGAATCCAAGTGCTGGAAAAAAAAAAGTATGGTTCAGGGAATCAGAAATAAGGTGTACCAAAAGATAGCCCTAAGAAGTGGAGTCACTTCTATAATTGAAGTTATCACATTCACCATAACAAATTCTTATTCTCCTCTCCCCCACCCCTCAATATTTTTCCCTCTTTTAAGCATTATTCTCTGTAATATTTTAACACTGTTGCCTAATGTCTAGGGTCTGCCAATACTTAACGAAAATTAAATATGATACTATAGTTCAAATTTAGACTGTATGGAGGTGATAAGATGTCAATCTATCATGTTAATCTTTCTTAAGTGCTATTACTTGAGCGTCTGTCACTGTTCACCATCTACTAGGGTTTGATGCTATTTAACATTAGAGGGGGCAAGTCAATACTTGCCACAATAGAAGAATAGTGTTATTTAACTTATGGATCAACACAGTAATATGTATTATTATAAAGCTCTCCTCTCAAATTCTTTTCTTTTTTTGTTGTTGTTGTTGTTGCAATTTTTGGCCAGGGCCGAGTTTGAATCCGCCACCTCCAGCATAGGGCTGGCGCCCTACTCCTTGAGCCACAGGCATCACTTTCCTCTCAAATTCTTAAAAACAGTGGACAGGTTACCAATCTTGCTCCCCTCTGGGGTCTGGGAATGCTAGAAGCTTTTGTCAGATAGTATACACTTAACCCTTTCAATATGCTTGGAGATATTCTAATTTATCATTTTTATGACTTAAACATGATCAGAAGTGCCACACTGATATTCTCCCTTTTTCTAGCAATCCTTCCCTTCTCTTCTTCTCCCTCCAATTCCTAGGTTAAAATGGCAAAACTTGTTAAGTTTCTTCTGTGCACTGAGGGAAAATTCTGAAATGTTAGGACTTAATAACTGTCTCTATTATGGATAACACAGTCAGAAGGGAATAAATCTGTAAGAAATGTGAAAGATTAAAAGAAATAGTTTGGTGAATTTGGATCCTCCTCTACCAGAGAGCTCCTTCATTGAGCACTGTGACTAAATAAAATTATGAGAAAAAACTAAATTTATATAAAACTACCCCCATGGAAACTTCTGAAAACTGTCTGGACTTACAGCTGCTGTCTCTAGAGCATGCTGTCCTTTGGCCCCTCATACAATTCTACACCCCCTAACCCCCCATTCTATGACATAAGCAGCCTTGGAACCTATGTTAGGAAATACAAATGATCAGCTGGAACTCCAGTTTTTTGCTGCAGAGCCCATTTGTTTATTAAAATTATCAGTGAAACTGTCTTAAAAAATATTTTTCATGTTTGAATTAAGAAATCTTGACTGTCCTTTTTGACACATTTTACTTATACAGTTACTTTATACTTTTTCATAAAAAAAAAAAAGATTTAGAAGGAAGAACCAGGTACTATGTTTCTTGATTTTAAGGCACATAAAAGGGTAAGGAACACCAGATTTAGCAGCTGTAGGAAGCCAACCTATTTGTTGTGAGCAAAAGCACGAATTACATTAGACTAAATCACTTAGCTGTGTCCATTTAAGTATTTTCTGCATGAGCTGTTAACAGGTTTGCCTTTCCACTAGGACTAGACCACGGTGAAATGGGCAAACTACACCCAAGCCGTCCAGTTAGGCCCCTGGACGTTGTCAGAGGCTATTGGTTAAATTCTTTAACAGAAGTCGGAGCTTCAGCAAAAGAATCAATTTTTCCCTTTAAACAAACAAACCAACCAGAGTAGATTTAAGCGCCTGGACTAAATAGGAGGAGGTCGGGAAGGTAGTTAATTTAAAAAGAATGTAGAAAAGGCGCCAGGGAGGCCCTCGAGTGGACGACGCAGCGGAACCGCCAGCCAAACAGCAGCGTTTGGGCCCACAGGGCCCCAAGTCACGGGCGGGAAAGGGAAAAAGAAGCTATCAGCGCGCTAAGTCATCTCACAACACGGAAGGTGACCAGTTTGGAGGCACCAAGCCAGGGCGGTGACCTCTTTCCTACCTCGGTCAGACACACTCTTCCCCACAGTCGCCTTCACCCCACATCCGAGCCTCAGCAACGCTCACTTCCTGCGCCAGCGGCGTGTGGGGGTGGGGCGCGGGGGTGGGGCGGCTCCCCACTTCCTGTGACGTGCACTGGCCCAGTGTGCATGCACGTGCGGGGGGACCCGGGGGTCTTCCCTTTGGGGGCCCGGCTCTTCTGGGGCCCTCTGGGGCCCTTCTCTTAGGTCTGCTCGCCTTTGGCTCGTCCTCTCTTAGGGGTCCATTCTCTGGCCCCCAGAACTAGAAGGGCCTTGTGCAGGTGGAATCCCCCCCACTTTGCTCTGGGTCTTCTGGGCAGCCATCTTAGAAAAGAGAAAGCGGTTTAGAAATGGGCCCGTGAGGGCAAGGGACTGGTTAGAGGTGGGAGCTCTCTGGAAAGAAGTCTTGTTTATGGAGGTTATCTAGTAGACAGGTAATTTAGATTTTGAGGGGCGAGAAGAGGAATTATAAAGGAGATGGGCAGAGCAGCCAAAAAAACCATCGCGAAGGACAAGAATTTTGTGTCTAGGTGTTTTGTATGGCGCATGATGTAAAATCCCCCGATTCAAAATGCATATATAGTATCTGAGAATGCTTGGTGGGATGATGGACATCCGTCAGATTAACGGACGTCTTAGGGTTGGGGAGAGAGCTCAGTGGACAGCTGGAGAGGAGAGGTTTGGCAAGTTACAACTTGTTAGTAGAAGGCCTAATACTGTGAGCCTTTCTTCTGAAAATTGGGATATCAAAAAGAGTGTAAGCAGGCTCGGCACTCGTGGCACAGTGGTTACGGCGCCAGCCACAAACAGCAAGGCTGGCGGGTACGAACTCGGCCTGGGCCAGCTAAACAACAGGGACAACTGCAACAGAAAAATAGCCAGGCATTGTGGTGGGCGTCTGTCGTCCCAGCCACTTGGGAGGCTGAGGCAAGAGAATCGCTTAAGCAAAGAGTTAGAGGTTGCTGTGAGCTGTGATACCGCTGCACTCTACTGAGGGCCACATAGTGAAACTCTGTCTTAAACAAAAAAAGAAAAAAAAAGTGTAAACAGAAATTCTTGTTCCCAAAGTGTTTAGAAAAACAAGTCCTGAGGGCAGTGCCTAGGCCCATCCACCGGAGGTAGTAGGTTCAAACCCAGACCAAGCCAAAAACTGCAAACAAAAAACAAACCCACAACAACAACAACAAAAACACAAGTCCCGAAATGATTGAAAGGTTAAATGGCAGTATGACAGATGACAAAAAAAGTGTTAGAGACTGTAAATTCCTATGAGGAAGAAATCCGTGGAGGCTGAAATGAGCTGAGAAGGCATTATGGAGAAAAGGGACTTGGCATCTTTGCAAGTTAGAAAAAAAGGAAGGTGTTGGCCCTATTGGTAGACCTGGCGATAATTTTCAAAGCCAAAGGTAAAATATGTGAAATGACAAAAATTATGTGCTGGCTTGGTGCCTGTACACTGTGGTTAAGGCACCAGCCACATAACACTGAGTTTGGTGGTTCAAACCCAGCCCAGGCCTGCTAAACAACATGAAAACTGCAACAAAAAATAGCCGGGCAGTGTAGCTAGTGCCTGCAGTCCCAGCTACTTGGGAGGCTGAGGCAAGAGAATCGCCTAAGCCCAAGAGCTGGAGAGTGCTGTGAGCTGTGACGCTATTACACTCTACAGAGGGCGACAAAGTGAGACTCTGTCTCTATAAAAAAAAAAAAAAAAAAAAATTCTGTGCTGTCCAAGGTGTAGGAGGCTGTCTGGGAGATTAGGTGCTGAAATTTTGGGATTTCTGGAACATTTCAGTGGTTTAGAGACTAAATATGACTTGAGAGAACCTATCCTGACAGCAAAAACTGAATGTAGCTTTAATGAAAAGGATCATGGAGGTGAGACATTTTATTTTTTTCATGAATAATTCCAAACAAATAATTGTTATTTTTTGTTTGTTTTGTATTTTCCGACTAGCAGTCCTTAGGCTGAAGGGAGTGTGTTTAACAGCCATTGGTTCAGATTAAGACACTAAAAAGAAATCCGTGTTGACGGAATCCAGGCTCAAGCCATTCTTGTAGGTTAGTGGTCTGTACCTTAGACTAATCTGGGGAGCTTTCAAGACATACCACTCCAAATTCCCTTCCCAGACCAATTAATTAGAAAGAGCCAGGCATAGTTATTTTTTAAAATTACCCAGATGATGTTAATATGCAGCCAGGGCTAAGAACCACTGACCTAGGCACTGTTTTGAATTTATAAAAGCTATTCTTGCACCTGGTGGCCTGGATGATTCATGTGAAGGAGGAGCAAACTGTTAAAGTGCTTCTTGAAAGATAATTGCTACGAATGAAAGCTTCATTGCAAGCTGAGCACAAAGCATTTTAGCAAAAGCTGCTGTCTTGCAGTTTTAGATTGTTAGGAAATATTTTAAATTTTTTTTATGAAATCTTAAATGTCTGAGTTTATCACAATATCATTTATGCAGATTGATGGGGTTAGTGTGATTTAAATGGAGATGTGATTTTTTTCAGGCTTTAAATTGCAGTGATCTGGTGCAATTGCTGACACTGTTATTATGACCCATAAGTACTTTTTATGCAGATACCTGCAGATAGAAATTTCTGAGGAAGAGAGAACTAAGGGCTTGATAGGGTGGGGAGTGGGTACCAAACCAGAATCCAAAGTCAGGCTTCACTGCATTCAGTAATGCTTTGTCAGGGTGACAGGATCCTCAACTGATAAAGCTGTTTCATTTAGCCCCAGTGAACAAGCTCACCAACTTTCAAACAAACAAAAACCAAACCTGTCTTTCAATGCTGATTTTGAAATAAAAATGCACCACACAGCTATTCTTTCTACTCTTAAGTGCTTTGTTCATTCCTTTCCAACCCATAAATTTCCTGCTTTAGCTGAGATCCCTGCTGAGCTTTCTTTCAGACTGGTTTTCCAGCCCAGTTGATTGTATTTCTAGAGGAAAAGGCAATGAGACCAAGGTGTTTACACAAGGGTCATTCTAGGAGCAATCTATTCCTTGCTGGTTTTATCTATGCATATACCAATGTCTATCCCTAAATTGTTGATTATAGTTTTACAGTTAATTATTGGTTTAAAACAAAATCTCTAGGGCGGTGCCTGTGGCTCAAAGGAGTAGGGCACTGGTCCCATATACGGGAGATGGCTCCGGCCAAAAACTGCAAAAAACCCCCTCTAGACTAATGATTAAATGGATTTGTAAGCTAAGTGATTGAAAGAAACTTTGTTAGAAAAAGGGTTTTCTCAGCTCTTAGGATTGAAGGAATTCCAGGAGTCCTTGAAACAGAATTTTCAGTGCTTTAGAAGGTCTAATAAAACATAAGCTTTTGGCTTGGTGCCTGTGGCTCAAGAGGCTAAGGCACCAGCCACATACACCTGAGCTGGCGGGTTCGAATACAGCCCATACCCACCAAACAACAATGACGGTTGCAAACAAAAAATAGCCAGACTGCATGGTGGGTGCCTGTAGTCCCAGCTACTTGGGAGGTGGAGACAGGAGAATCGCTTGAGCCCAGGAGCTGGAGGTTGCTGTGATCTATGATGCTACAGCACTCTACCAAGGGTGACAGCTTGAGACTCTGTCTCAAAAACAAAACAAAACAGGCTCGGCGCCTGTGGCTCAAGTGGCTAAGGCGCCAGCCACATACACCTAAGGTGGTGGGTTCGAATCCAGCCCGGGCCTGCCAAACAACAATGATGGCTGCAACTGAAAAAAAAATAGCCAGGCGTTGTGCCGGGCGCCTGTGGTCCCAGCAACTTGGGAGGCAGAGGTAGGAGACTCGCTTGAGCCCAGGAGTTGGAGGTTGCTGTGAGCTATGCCACGGCACTCTACCCAGGGGGACAGCTTGAGGTTTAAAAAAAAAAAAAAAAAAAAACAAAAAACTTAAGCCTTTGCTCACCAAAAGACTAAAATACTATATTTCTTTGTTTCTAGCTTGGATTTGGCCAACTAAGTTCTGGTTTTCATTTAATTATGATTTCTGATTGGTAGTTAAGTGTATAATTAAAAATAGAAAAATTATTCAATAAATACAGTTGCGAAATCTTTGAAAGTGAGGGATCTATGGGGGAACATCATAGGTGCTCTTATTGGTGAGAATATATTAGGAAATACTGCTTTAGAGGAGGGTAAAAAGTTGGGGTTGGTTATAATTGTTCAGGCAAAGTATCAGGGAGAGAAGGCACAGACAGTGAAAATGAATTTTTGCTTAAAAAAAAGTTGCTAATGGGAACTTGCCTAGAATATCCAACATTTAGTTCTAGAAAGCTAAAGGAAGATTCAGGATGAATGAAAAAACCCAGCAGTGATAATTTGTCTATACTTTAGATTTGTTTTGTGTCCTAATATGTAAAGTTTTATGTAACTCCATAATTCACATTACATAACTCTGTAATCCACATTGCCTCCTTTTTCTTTTCTTTTTTGTTTTGAGATAGGGTCTTGCTCTGTTGCTCTGGTTAGAGTGCAGGGGTGTCATCATAGCCTGAGCCTCCCAAGTAGCTGGGACTGCAGGAGCATGCTACCATGCCTGGCTAATTTTTCTATTTTTTGTAGAGACAGGAGTCTCATTCTTTTTTTTTTTTTTTGAGACGGAGCCTCAAGCTGTCCCCCTGGGTAGAGTGCTATGGC